AGAGGTACGCATCTACATCAAGTTTAAACTTATCATTCCTTATAAATTTAGATTGAAAGGGCGTTTGACTCGGGCACCTATAAATTCAAGGTAACGATCAGATTTTTTCTTCGTTACCATAAACTTTACATTCCATATAGATTGAACCAATAACATTTTCCATGAAGGAATACGCTGAGTTCGCACGTAGTATCTGTGGTGAAACCATGGATTTCCAAAGCTGTCAGCGAAAAGCTTCTATGGTTCAGGAAAGAAGGTGTGTCCCAGATAAATGGTACTTAGCATGAACTCAAATCATCGTGGTAGAGAACAAGAACTTCTTCTTGAATGGCAAAGCGAGAAACAGGCCGAGGCCAAGGTGGTTCCTGCACAAGCTTCTAACGCCGACATTGAAAGTACGAAGTCGTTATCCCAGAGCCGGTTTATAATTCAATCTTCTCAGAGATAATATCGGAGACTCCGACGACCCTCAACTCACCGCTATTTGCCTCGGTGTGGAAGATCAAGTGTCGTCCTGGAGATAGAATAGAGTCTGCAAACGACGTGTTACTGATACTTGAAGCTATGAAGATGGAAATTCCGATAACAAGCGGTGAAACAAACGTAGGAAAGGTCGTCAGAAAGTTCGGAAAGGGAGTTGTTGAAGGAGGATCAGTTTGTCTTGGTGATGTGCTTCTGGTTCTATCTTGAAGACTTGAATGTAGTTTGCGGGAGATCATGTATACAGCACAGTCACGAAACAAAGGTTCTGAATGCTACTCCCTTCATATTTCCCACTTCGACTTTGTAATCCCTCTTCATCCTCACTATCTCAAATTTTAATCGGAAGAGGCCCCGTTCATATCGCCGCGGCGACTAGCGATGCTCCATCGGAACGGGAATGTGTTCCACGTGAGCTGCGATGACTCTCACCGGTTTTAAGAACGAGTACCAAGCCGATGGGAAGAAAGACGCTGTTGACCGAAACAGTCGATTTATGCGCTTGCGGGCTCATCAAAACTCAAAACAACACGAACAACGCGCTTGATACGACTTGCTGATATTTTTGTCAATTTTCATTCTCAAGCCTTCCCATTGACTTATACCTTCTTTTCAGTTCCACACATTGCTTGCGCGCACACACGGCGCCTGTCGTGGACATCGTTCGACGTCTAACAACTCGCAGAGTGAGAAAATCACGCTCAAAGTGCTCACTCACACATCTCACACTGCGAAACCGCCTTCGTCTATTGGCGATATGCAATAACACGAAAAAAAATGCCTCACATATATAAAAACACTGTCTAGTGTACAGGGAAAGACAGAACTTCCATATCCCGAGGGATGGTTCGCTTCTCGTTTGTGATTTTGGCAAGCATCTTGCCCGCAGCGCTTGCTGCGGTTCGACATTTTGACCTCCCCATTACCGTCGCCAATGTTGCCCCCGATGGGTTTGAACGACAGTAAGCTTCTCAAATCTTTCAAGACCTTTTTGCGGTACTGATCTCAGCCTCGCGAAGGGCCATTCTGGCTGGAGGAACCTTCCCTGGAACGCCCATTATGGTTCAGAAGAACGACTCGGTCGTTATTCCGGTACATAACGAGTTGCACGATCCATTAATGAGGCAAAGTACCTCCATCGTGAGTTTATCGTACTCTATCTATACTTCGTTCTGGAGCTGAAATAAGTTAGCACTGGCACGGCTTCTTCCAAGCTCGTACTTCGGACATGGATGGCCCTGCGTAAGTTTACCTTTCTGGATCTTATAAGAACACTCTAATCTCATCGTTAATAGTTTCGTTACTCAGGTATACCAACAACCATGTTGGGTAACACAAAAGCTGATCACGAGAAAAGTGTCCGATCGCGCCTAACGCCACGTTCGTCTATTCATTCTCCACAGCGGGACAAACCGGAAAGTTCGTAACCTTCTCATCTGCCATTGACCATTGTTCATGTCAAGATAGCTTCTGGTATCACTCTCACTTGTCGACTCAATATTGTGATGGTCTTCGGGGAATCTTTGCCGTCTATGGTATGTGAGGTCTGATGTAGTATGCCCAGTCAGCTCACTTGCAAAAGATCCGAATGATCCATTGAAGCATCTCTACGATGTCGACGATGGTCTGTATTCCTTGCGTTCTGAGAACAAGCCAGAATACTTATGCTAGAGATACAGAGAGCACCATTATTACTCTTGCCGACTGGTACCACGAACTTGCTCCCGCGGCACAGAACAATTTCTTCCAGACTGGTGTCGTGCCGTGAGTGGTCCTCTTTTTCAGCAGCGTTGTTGTCCTAACGAGGGATACAGCATTCCCGATACAGGATTGATCAACGGCAAAGGACGTTTCGTTGGTGGTCCTCTTGGTATGTCATTCAAACCTAGCAAAATTTGAAAACTTATCCTTCGCAATTCTAGTTCCCTACGCTGTTGTCAATGTCCAACATGGAAAGAGATACAGGTTGCGCATTTTCGCAATTGCCTGCCGACCGTTCTTCACGTTCTCCATCGACAATCACAATATTACTTTCATGGAAGCTGACGGTATCGAACATGACCCCGTTGAGGTCCAGAACATCGATATCTACACCGGTACGTCGATTCTGCATTGGATTGCGTTATCAATGTTTTCATTGTTGAATTGTTCCGTAGCACAACGTGTCTCAGCCATTTTGCACGCCAACCAGCCCGTTGATAATTACTGGATCAGAGCTCCGCTAACTGGTGGTGCACCCGGACCCACTGGAAACCCAAATCGTATGTTTTTCGTTTTCGTTACTTGGACTAGACATCTCACTGCGTATCTAGTCGATCCCGATCTTATTAGGGCTATTCTGAGATACAAGGGTGCACCAGACGTAGAACCCACTACCAACAACACAGGTGGGCCGAAGCTCCTCGATGAGCAGATGCATGTTGGTTGCCCATTCTTCGACCTTTCTAATAGTTGTCTAATGAATTTCGGCAGCCTATTCCTCAGGAACACCCTGGAATGGTATGATGTCCTTCTATCGTTCGTCTTGCCTTTAAGCTCATTTTTCGTCAGCTCGGTTCAGGACCTCCAGACGTTGGTAAGAACGTGACGAGTAGTGCAGAGACACTAGACTGATGTTTTCATTTAGCCATCACGCTCAACATCGCACAGGTATGGGGAATGAAATCTATCGCGCTATTCTTACTGACCTTGCCGTTTAGCCCAACCCTCCATTCTTCGACATCAACGGCATCTCATACATTTCGCCTACGATCCCAGTCCTCTTGCAAATACTCAGCGGAGCTAAATCGGTATGCCCGGTGCCAGAGATGATTTATCTGTGATCTGATAAGTCCCTTTAGCCTCAAGATCTTCTTCCTTCGGAGCAGGTGTACGTACAAGAGGATTTATTCACGGAGTGGATTGCTCACACATATCGACAGGTTCGTCGTTCCCAAGAACATTATCCTTCAGGTCTCGATTCCGGGTACTGGAGGTAAAGTTTCTTCTAACTGGCATTCCGGATTTAGCTGATAATATGATGCTACAGCACATCCTTTCCATTGTAAGGGAGACAAATTCAGTTGCATCAGACCTCTATTCACATTGATCAGTGCACGGCCACGCTTTCGACGTCATTCTTCCGTCGAACTCTAATGTGACCAACTTTGTCAAGTAAGCCTCTTTGAAAACGCGCATGAAAGTCGGCACTAACGATATTTCTTCAGCCCACTCCGTCGTGACGTCTATCCGAGTAGGTGTTGGATGAACTAGCAGACAAGAGTCCTACTCAGCTCTTTTTTACAGTCAACGGAGGAAACACGACCTTCCGTTGGAGTACGTCCCCCCCTATCCGATTTTTTCAAAAAAAGACTAACGCGTCATCTCTCAGGGACCGACAATCCGGGTGCTTGGTTCTTGCATTGGTGCGTTTCGTTGCCTCGTAGATGGCAAAATTTATCTCACTACCCTTCAGCCACATCGACTGGCATTTGGAAGCGGGTCTCGCCGTTGCATTCGCTGAGGCACCGGAAGATAACGTCTCTGGGCCGCAAGCCCAAATCACTCCTCAAGAGTGGAAGGATTTGTGTCCCGATTACAACGCGCTAGCAGCAGATCTCCAGTGATTAGGGTAGAGAATGTCTTAAATGAAATTGTATAACAAGTACTATGAAGAACATCTTTATTTGACGTAGCTCATAGAGCCTCTGCGCCGAGTACAAGACAACAATCGATAACAATGCCTGCAAAGAATAGACGTCAGCATCCAATTCAAATGACGTTTAGCGTCCACAAAGGATCAGACATCCAAAGGAAGGTCGTTTCAACTCGCACCGCATCGACCCCCACCTAGCATCATCGCACCACAAGGGCGGCCCACAGCTCAATGATCTTTGGGTTCGACCAACTGAGGAGGAGAATAAATGTTCGGTATTGGGGGAGTACTCCAAAAGAGGACGCTAGAGTGGAAACTGCGAATGTAGGAAGTGTTTCATCAAGAATGTGGACGCAAAAGGGAACATGTAAAGAAAGAGACTAACCGAACGAGAACCGGGTCAAAAGTATCTGAAGAAAGGTAATCAATACATGGCTCAAGAGGCGGGATAGAAGAGGATCAGACGAAATGGCACTGGCAAGTACACTAGGCGCCCGAAAGGACGCCGAATCTGTTGCGAACAGATATACTCTATCTCTCGACATGGTCGTATAAGACGGGGAAGAGAATAAAGTCATCAGGGAACTGAAAAGGGAAAGGATACTCACAGAAGATAGAGAGCAGGACAAAGAACGAGATCACGGCGGCGAAAAATTTGTAGTTGAGTATTGTTTGGTCAGCTTTGTAGAGGTCCGTGCGCAGTCACGTTTTTACTCTTTTCAAAAAAGGGCGAATTTTAAAGTTCAGCCAATCAGAAAACATTTACATAATAGCACAACCAGCGATATTCTACATTTGGATTGCGCCACAGACCGCGTTTTCGTACCTTCCTGCTGTTCCCCCATCGTTTTTGCGATGGATCAAACTTAAAGATAGATAAGAACAAGCCGCGTTGGCGTAGTGGTAGCGCGTCGCACTTGTAATCCTTAGTAAAGTAGTGGAATGGCACTACGCTAAGTTAATGCGAAGGTCACTCGTTCAATCCGGGTACGTGGCAATTTTTATTGTTGTAGAGCCGCACGCCCAGGGGTTTCTTTCAACGCAAATTCAAGAAAGGTAGTCTGGCTGTGATTTTGAAGTAATCGTCAATAGACAAGTAAGATATTCTCCCAATGGTGAACATTGAACAATGAGTGACATCTCTATAAGTATCTCTCCTGGATGAACATGTTGGCAAAGGAATCAGATTTCTTCTCAACCTGTGCCAACCGTTTAAAAGTTGTGAAATTATCCTCGCCATCGCAATAGCTGGCCTTAAGCACTTATCAGTTGCGAATCGGCAGTCTCAAAGAATCACGATCATTGGCTGCTTGTTGAGTTAACAAGAGATTCTTAGATCTTAAGTGCTTCTCACAACGGTGACCCCAACTAATCTACTGAAGACGTCTCCCTCTAACCCTATGTTCAAGTTCAAGTTGGGAAGAGCTTTTCATCAAATTCTTTTCTTTTCCGGAAAACTATGGCCTTATAATGGACCTTCCTTCAAGCTAACCAATGCGAGGAAGGTTAGAATCACATTGGACTCACTCTTGAAGTCAGACGGGCTCCGCGTTGGGTGAAGAATGAAAACCGATCATTGGCTTAGAGTATCCTGGATGGGAGTCACGGTTGGCAACTAGTCCGAGTCAGGTCTTTACTCAACCTGCCCTGATCGTCTCCAGCTTCAGAGACCCTATCGTTGGCATCGAAAGTCATCCACTGTTTTCTGTAGTCTCAAAGACTTATCATCATGGCCTAGTTATCTTTGCGAGTATAAGTACAAAAAAGGGATACAAAATTCGATCGATCAATCCTCGGTGCCGTGCTCAAACATATCGAGTCTCTTCTTGATCAATTCAAGACGAGTCTTTCTGTCTTCAAGGAATCCTCGTTTCTTCGCCAACACTGGATCTTCGAGGAGAAGATCCGCAAACCAATGGTGATCGGCTTCGTCAGTTTGGAGGCTTTCAAAAAGACTCTTTTGCAAGTTCTTGCTAAAGGCCTGATTGAGCGCGCGCTCGATAGTCAGGGGAACGTAATCAATTATTCGCTGTCAAAGTTGTCAGAACTCAGATGTCAAGAGGAACGGAAAGGACTCACCTTGTACGCGACTTGAAAGTATGCACGAACCATCGCCATGACATTGATAGCATCGAAATCGCCGTGGTTCCTGTTCACGTCGACGTTGGGGAACCCCTGGTCGTTCTGAGCGTTGTAATAAGTTCTCAGCCAGTAATCTTTCTCAGAAAGAAAGTGCTCCTCGTTCTGCGTCCATGCCGGAACGTTCTCGAGCTCAGTCATCTCAGCCAGCCTACTCAAAGTTTCCTTCTTGTATTTCTCCAACTCTGCCTGAACGACGGAGCTATATACGCAAATAAGCGACATGATGATCAGGATATCGTGAACAATGACGAACGCGACATGTTTCTCGAGGTTCTTGAATTGCCCAAAATGCTCGCCCAGGACCTTTCTGATGAAATCGGAGGTATTCGTAAACACACCGTGGAAGCAAGTCACAGCGGGCTCGTTCCAAAGGTTCGTGAACGCAAGAATGTACTTCTTTATGACATCGTAAGGGACGTGTGTTGGGAGCTCCCAACCAATGGACCTAGCCATGACAGTGTTAGGTCAAGACCAATTATGGCGGAATCCTTACGTACTGAGCGATAACTTGCTTGACCTGCGGCACATTTATTACAGGCCCAGATGCTGGAACGCGTTCAGCTTCGCGACCGACCGAAACATAATTCCGATATTGGTATGGTACAAAGTTGGGCCTCGTACGTTCGATGTCATACTTGAAAAATGCGTATCGAGTTCGGTTGGTTTGAACCAAGCTCTTCTGGTGCTCCCCAAAGACGGCCGACTGGAAGTCTTGACAGAATTGTGTGATGCGCAGACAGACTTCCGTAAACGGATCGTTCGTGTTGAGAGTTGGGAGAGTTGCGAGTTCTTCTTTGCATTCGGACAAAAGTTGCGCTACTTTTGCGCGTAGTTCAGGGAGGCTAGAGATTGAGATGAGCAAAGTGCTCGGAGCGGCGTGATTGGAATATACTTCTTCTCAATGAGCTGAACAAGAAGTCCACTTATATTGGCGACGAAACTTGGGACACCAAAGCGAGCCCGATCAGCGATGGTGTTCCAAGGAGAAGTTGTTTCGAAGAATCGAGCTTCAAGCTTCTGAAGGTCCGTACGGGACCTGTTACGACTGCGTTCTACGTCGGTCGGGAGGCGGACAGAGTAATACCCATGTTTCAAAGGATCTCGCTTGCCTTCGAGAGTGTCTTTCCAGTTTTGAAGGTGACCGGTTGCACCGACAGACAAAGTATCGGGCTTCGTAAGGATGCCTAAAGTTTCAAGTCAGGTCATGGCACTATTTGTATGGAGAATATTTACCGATTGTTCGTTCTCCTGTAGGATCAGCATCTTTGGCGAGACGGAATGCGGCTTGATTTTGCATATCGTCTACAAGATGTCGAGGCCAGGTTCAGTATTCTCAATCTTCAATAGACTTACCGCTCATGGGGATCGTAACAAGGATGAGCGTGTTAGAACCCGATATAGCATCGACCACGAGATTCTTGATCAAAGCGATGTCTTCGTCGTCGGAGTTCTGAATGAGGCCTGTGCATGGTCATGAAAATCAAAAGGGAATCTAAAAGTAAGTGATAGGACTTACCGGGCAAATCTATGAAGGATAGATCGGTGAGATCTGGATCGGTGATGTGTACACAAACGACATTCTTGGAGAACTGAAGCGCATTAGGGCGTTTCTTCAAATCTTTGTCCGTCTTGTTGAAGAAATCGTTGTGTGGTACCAAAGGGTTCAGTAGCGCGGCCTGAGCGCGCCGGATCCAAATCTCAACATCCTTTTTATCAGTAATGATGGGTCCGAATTGTGTAGTTTCCGCAGTAGCGATGGAAGTACCATCAGAAGCGTAGGAAATACGAAGAGAAATGGTGCACGACCATGCACCTTCCGTAGTGGACATAGAACACTCCATGGGACACCTGAGGTAGATTGTAAGCGCGAAAAGATATGCATTGGGGAACGGTGCTCACCTTGTACATGTTCCGCTATCCCTTGGCACACAAATCTAGAAAAGAGACTCAGAGAGGCAAAGAAGGGATACGAGAGAGTAGTATTTACTCCGCTGACAGCCTCGACAAGAGAACTTTTACCGGCTGAAGGATTGTCAGAACGAAACCTGGAATCGCGGGTGTCACCTACCAGACTGGTTGCCGATGACTGCTAGTCGAGGCATATCAAGAGGAATTCCGTCGCTGTCAAGACCTTCAGATGCACATAAACAGAATACATACAAGAAGCCTTACCAGAGACTGCTGAGATCCCGATGTAGCTTCATCAGTTTTCTGCATTTCCGTGCGTATGTGGAGGAGGTGATATTAACGTCGGTAGACGACGCTTCAGATGATGAGCGAGTACGGCTTCGGGCCCCATTCCCACGACTGATACGACGCCATTGACTGCCGAACATGACTGAAATGGTTGAAGATGGGATGCAAGGGCATCAGGCACAAGCTATATAGCTCAAAATCATCATTATGAGATCAAGTCACTTGAACAGGAAAAAGCGCGCACGAAAGACAATAATAAGAGGGCGTTGAATGTACGAGCGCTGAATTGGAGGGGTTCTGACCGAAAGCGGCTTGCGAAGGAATCATTTTTGGGTCATGAGGTAAGCTTCCTTCATTTCGTAAGACAGCCGTGCAACAGAATTTCCATGCAGGTGTTGGAGAAGTAAAGCAAGCATCGTTAATCCGGAATCTAGGGCGCTTACGGCGCGCTTAATCTCAAAGAATCGCTGTCATGTGGTGATAAAGTTAATCGCTGCGGCTGCGTATCAATAGAAATCCTCCGAGTAACTCTTGTAACAGCACGTGGAGAGAATGGGTCACAAGGCGACTACGCAGTCAAGGGACATAAATGCTAGTTTTCAAGAGAGCGGCGCCTACATACTCAAAGGTCAGGTTCCAGGTCTTCTGTTGAGGGAAGGTGAAAGATATTTGAGGAATCCGTCGAGTATGCGCAGTGACCACGTTGCTTCATGTCCACGACACTGATGAATTCGACAATGAGTGCTTCTATTGCGTACGATTCAAAAGGTCATGAAAAGCAGAAGGGTATTGTCCATTTGAAACACGCCGCTTGGCGCCATATCACCGATAAAATGTGCATCACTCAATAGTGAACACATTTCGAGGTTCAAGTGAAGGAACATCACAGCACCTGCCAAGCAGTGTTTCCAACAAACCTTTTGCCATTCGCGTCAGCGACTGACTCGCATGCATCTCTTGCTGTTTTACCTCGAATCACCATTCAAGAACGAGAGAGAAAGCTCTTTTCAGAGTCGGGCAAAGGCCATATAGGTAGACGAGAAAGATATTCATGTCCTCGAGCCAGATAAATACCCCTCAATGCTTTGGCAAGAGACCGAATCTCGATTCTCATTTCCCAACAATCGCTTTTGCCCCGGTGGAACGCACTCGGGAGCGCTTCTGCAGCGGATGGAATTGCGGTTGCGTATCAACAGAAGATGTCGCAGATGGCTTCCAACATCAGCACGTGGAGAAAATGGGCAAGTCGCGCATCCCGGTTTCCATGAGGTCAAGTGGCGACTACGCAGCTGAGGACCATGAATGCCGGTCTTCGAAGGAGCTGGCTACATAGACGAAGTGTTCCGTTGAGAGAAGGGAGTAGAAATTCGAGTAATCCGTCCATCACGGCGTGTGTTGGTGACCACATGCTTTGCGTCGTGTCCATGGCATCGTTCAGTTTAGCAAGGAGCGCTTTTATTCTGGGTCTGTGGACAATTCAAAGGGTCACGAAGAGCAGAAAAAGATGTTCATGTGAAGCATACGACTTGACGCATTGACGTCGACGTCTTATCAAGTCGGACGCGGTATTGAACGTCGAAACTTCCTCGAGGTACATTGGTTCAGAGTGTACTATGGTCATTGTTGAGATTGGCAGAGGAGCAAGAGTCGTTGGCGTAG